ATTCACAACACATTTATTTACAAAAGTCATACATATATACAGTTTACAGTTTGTAATATCTAGTTCAATAATCCAGAAGATACATCATTAACGAAGCAAAATAATTTCTATATTTCACTGTATGTAAAACAGATTTTAAAAATTATATAACAATATATCATTACATAAATAAGATGTTCACTGTAATCATTTGAGAAATGTTCATTATTTTCATAAATATCAATTTTAATGCTTTGAATCAATAGAATATATTTTTAAAATTTTCTCTTTCTATTTTCTTTGATTTTACCACTCTCCTCATTCTTACAGAAAAGCTTTCACTGTTACATCAGTTAAACATACTTAATAAATGGCACTTAAAAATACTTATTATGATGTATTTGATCCACTGGCAATCTTCTGCTTTTCAAATAATTCTATCACCTGCTCTGTTGCAGTCTTCTCTGTTACATGAGCAGCAGACAGCTTCTCCTGTAGATAAAGAAATCACAATGTATTATTTTTGCCATTATGCCCCACTTAGTAATTGGTCCTTACCTTCACCTGTCACATCTCTGACCAAAAGATTAAGAATACCTCCTTGGTTAAAAGGAAAAAGGAAAAAAGTAAAAAAAAGAAAGAAAGAAAGAAAAAAAATCATCACTGTATGATTAGTTCATATATACATTAACCTGTTGAGAAAATTCAATCTATATTCAGGGAAATTCTGCATTTTTCCTCCACATTATCCACACCTCAAAATAATTCTTGCTCCCCTAAATAAGACCATGATACACCACAATTCTTTATGATGACTAACATACAACTTGGTGTCTTGTCTAAGAAGGTGAATAGTAGTAGTATACAATGTCCCATTACTAGAGGATCATTCTAATTGACAACTTTATCTGACAAATCAATATTCCTGACATGCAATCACAATACTTACACTGGGAAATTCAGTTACGTTAATCTCAGGATCACGATGTGTCCAGGGTGTCCAAGGGCCTTGAATGGATGGGTGATCTGTGTGCTGATACTTTCTGAGACGTTCCACTGGATTTCCTGACCGCATTCTAAGGTATTCCACCCATTTCTTGATATCGCTACTTGAGAGGTTGTGAGCTGAGATATATTCTTCTTCACCATTTACTGGGTAAAAAATTAAATAAAAAATTTATGAAAACACTTAAACACTTTAGACAGTTATCAATATAATCATTTGGTAAGAGTACAAGAACAATGGTTTTTAAATTTGTATTTAAAATTCATAAAGTCAATCAACATCATGAGAGTTAAATAAAGATGATATAAAAACATACAGTATTCTGCCTTGAGGCAAGGAGATCTGTGACGGCGTGGTTTGAGGTACACAACAACTCCTGGGTTCACTTTTGCAAAATCAACAAGGTCCTTTTCAATGAATTCTCTGAAAAGAAGATAGCCAACCACCTTGAAAAAGGATAAAACATACCTACAAAATATGTTACTTAAGTTAAAATAAGTAAATAAATAAATAAATAAAATTAAATAAAAATGCAAGTTCCATGCTCTCTGATTTTGCAGCATTACATGGAATATTACATTCCTCATTCACAAATAACAAACAGTAAGCTTGTGTTTCTGAGATATTAGAATTACATACATATTTGTAAAGATTTGTATAGAACAGATTTGAATTGACATTCTATGGTAAAACAGAACTTATATACCTCTAAAGAAGCTTTAAGGTGATTCAACTCTATCATAAGACCTTTTGCTTTTACTAAGAAATCAATGAACTGTGAAACAACATTCTCAAAATGTCTAGTAAAGGGGGTAAAAAGAAGAAAAGTATAGTACTATGACCATCAAAATTAAAAACAGATGTATATGAAATTTCAAATGAATTAGCCATTAACATAATGGTGGAAAAAGGCTGTATTTTTAAGTCTAATATATTTTTCTTGTTATGGTGCTGCTCATTGTTATATATCTCTCTATATAGAAATACAATAAATTTACTCAAATGTTTGTCAAATCTTTAGGGTATCAGTACATACACACAAAATTTATGGGTTTCTTATTAGTAGCAGGGTGAAGGTACAGATAATATTAACATACAATCCAAGTAACACAGTAGATAAAAAAAAAAAAAAAAAAAAAAAAAAAAAAAAAAAAAAAAAAAAAAAACTATGTGGACTCTCAGGAGGCAGTTGGACAGTGTAACAAAAACATTAGGTTACATATGATGTCACATACAATAAAACAGGCCTAAATAGATATTAATATCTAAGTCTACAAAAAAAAATCGCTGGAACCTGTAACACACAAAAAATTTCCCTAAATTAATGGTATAACTGAAGTATTTTTGTCTAAATCTATTTGTGCTATTTCATGTTATTTCAAAGCAATTTTGATCACAAATGAATAGAGTTCAAGCTTTGTTTAACTATGATATCTAACCAAGATGGGATTTTTGTGAATTTTACTTAAGAGACTGCAAATCTTAAAAGCTATGTTCCTTTGGTTGTTCAATCAAAACTTAAAATCTTGGGAAATCTTGTATTTGCATTACCAATATGAATAAAGGTAGTTTAAGTATGGTTTCTAAATCCACATTCTGGTTTGGATACAAAACAAACGTGATATCTAATACCAACTCTGTAAATCTGCACTTGTCAAGACAGACATTCTTTCTAAAATAAATCCCAGGTCTAATCATCTCTACCATACCAAAAAACGTGATATTCCGTTCTCTTACCTCATCCCTTGACTGCCTCCATGGGTCTTACAAAACTTAAACGTAACTCTTTGGAGCTGTTGAACGTATCTCCCCACGCCGTTCCTGAGAGGTGTGCGCACAAAGGAAGAACCCCAGAACAAATTCCATGTGTGTGACGTCATTTTCCCTTCTTGCAACCACTGAAGTTACAAGAGAATACTATTGGGAGGATGTTTTTTGTATGGACCGGACGGCCGTCGCTCGAGCTTCGTGGTTATGGGGCGCTTTCGTGCAGACAATGCAGAGGAGCGGGCCAAAGAGCTCGGTTTCCCTTGAAAATCGGCACGCGCTCTCATTCTCTCTCTCTCTCTCTCTCTCTCTCTCTCTCTCTCTCTCTCTCTCTCTCTCTCTCTCTCTCTCTCTCTCTCTCTCTCTCTCCTCTCTCTCTCTCTCTCTCTCTCTCTCTCTCTCTCTCTCTCTCTCTCTCTCTCTCTCTCTCTCTCTCTCTCTCTCTCTCTCTCTCTCTCTCTCTCTCTCTCTCTCTCTCTCTCTCTCTCTCTCTCTCTCTCTCTCTCTCAATCTCTCTCTCTCTCTCTCTCTCTCTCTCTCTCTCTCTCTCTCTCTCTCTCTCTCTCTCTCTCTCATCTCTCTCTCTCTCTCTCTCTCTCTCTCTCTCTCTCTCTCTCTCTCTCTCTCTCTCTCTCTCTCTCTCTCTCTCTCTCTCTCTCTCTCTCTCTCTCTCTCTCTCTCTCTCTCTCTCTCTCTCTCTCTCTCCTCTCTCTCTCTCTCTCTCTCTCTCTCTCTCTTCTCTCTCTCTCTCTCTCTCTCTCTCTCTCTCTCTCTCTCTCTCTCTCTCTCTCTCTCTCTCTCTCTCTCTCTCTCTCTCTCTCTCTCTCACACACGCACAGATTGCAGATATGTGAGCAAGAACAAACAAATAATCATACAATTGTTGGCAAACACATACTCATATGTACTCACACATATAACACATTATAACACATGTGTGTGTGTGTGTGGGGCACACACACACACACACCACACACATACATATATATATATCAGTATCTCTATCTCTATCTGTCTCTCTATCTATCAATATGATATATACATGCTATATAATATATGATTATATATATATATGCATACATACATACATACACACATACATATACATACATGGCCTCCTTGTGTTATTTGACAAAGTCTATATAAGTACGTATATAGACCTTGTTATTTGATACCTGCAAAAACTTTTCGGCAAGCTTTGAGTGCTATGCATCGTTTTCTTGCACAGAACACCATCAGCATCTTCATAATGGCAATTGTTTTATATCATATCATTATCATTTTAGATATTTCTTTAATGAAAATGTCTAATATAAGAATACAAGTCATATAATAGCATAAACAATCAGGAATTTGTGTGTTCATCTTGAACTTTCCGCCGGTGAGAAGGTTACCATGGCAACGCCAATCAAAACATCAACAAAGGAATGTGCAAAGGATACATTCCTCAGACGGGTGAACCCAAGAGGAAAGACGAACCGATAATACACCTACATTTTTCACCATTACAGTACTCTTTTGTGAATTAAAACAGGGAGTGTGGACATTAGTTGGTCAATTATACGGGTAGGTTTCCTAGATCTTGCTGCGAAACTAGAAGGGCGAAAGGTTTTAGTGCAAATACTAACTTTAGCAAATTTGTAATTCTCGCATTTGTATCCAGAATTGCACTAAGGGTTGTGTTAGGTGCAGTTGCCATGTATTTTTCTTATTTGCTACACAGTAGAATTAAAGAAAGAAAATATTTTTTATTATAGAAAGTAATTAACCCATTTCTTGAAGAAAATTTTTTCTTTCTTTTGCTTTGTGGCTGAATTCCAGTACCTGTGTCCAGTATATTGCATGAAAGTAAGGCAAGGGTTATAGAAATGTATCTGATTCTACATGATGATTTTCTTTCTTGGAAGCACGAATCCAGTTCCCGATCCTATTCAAACCAAACCATACCATACCAGACCTAACCTAACCAATTCAGGTCATCTTCGGCAGTACTCGGCTGGTTTCGATAACCTCGATTTCGATTCGAGGAAGTGTTTGTGTCGTCTGTCTCTGCAGATAGATTTTCTGAAGATAAAGAAATGGATCCGTATCCACATGATGATTTTCGGGCTAAGCAGCACAGATTTTTTTCTGGTTCTGTAATCACTTCGAAAAAGTAAAGCTGCAGTTTACATATACAGTTAATTACAGTTCAAGTTTTGCTCCCCACAGGATAGACTGTCAGAGACAAGCCATACAGCAAACCAATCACGATGAGTGAAGATATCAGGTATATCGTAGGAGAGCTCAACAAGGAGCCATATAATCGCAACTACAACCTTATCAGCTTCGATTCTCTTCAGCCAGAACAGTTGATACAAGTAAGTTAAACCAAGCTTTATCAGTTATCTTGAAGGGTTTATAGTTGTCATTGAGTGTTAAGAATGTACAAATTTACATGTGCACACCCACACCCACCCACACCCACACCCACACCCACACCCACACCCACACCCACACCCCCACCCACACCCACACCCACACCCACACACCATACATACGCATACGCATACGCATACGCATACGCATACGCATACGCATACGCATACGCATACGCATACGCATACGCATACGCATACGCATACATACACATACACATACACATACACATACACACACACACACACACACACACACACACACACACACACACACACACACACACACACACACACACACACACACACACACACACACACACACACACACACACACACACACACACACACACACACACACACACACACACACACACACACACACACACATGTGTATATACACATGTGTATATACACATACAAGCACCTACTTACTTTCTAATTTACAGAATGATTGAATCATTCTAGATGTGTGATAAAATATTTTCATTAGTATTTCTTTTCTCTTTATATTTAACTTGGATTTTCTTCAACAGGTCCTTAATGATGTGTTTGCGGAGATTGATTCCAAAAACCGCCTTGACATTCGTGAGGAGGAGCCAGAACAAATGGCCATCAGAATGCTGGGGATGCTTCGTATTTTGAAGTATAAACCTCCAGACGACAACATGTGAGTCAAGTGTTACAAGTCTATTTGGCAAATAACATTTTACTTTCACTTTTCTAAATCACTGACATGATGGAATATGAATGGAGGTGTCTTCATTGGATGTAAATATATCTTGTGTGTATAATCCTGTTTGCCCCTTTTGAAACCAGATACCCATGAAATGTTTTGTTACACAGTTTTTGTGCACAGGAGTGGTGAGTGATTTGAATTGAAGCACTGGCAAAGATTTTTTTTAGATATATGAACAGGTTATTATACCATTCTCAGTGGCAAGGAGGGTACAATAGAAAATGATGAATGGATTCATTGATGGAACATGCTGAGAAAGGTAGAGGGCCATTTTTGTGCTAATATCAACAACATTTTTTCATGACTTTCAGCACCAGCAGAAATCCAGCAACAGTGATGTAAGGACTTATTTCACAGATGCACTTTTAATTCAAACTGCATTTTGTACACATTACTGATTTTCACTGTAGTTAGTGGTATATTTTCAAAGGTAGAATTTCAGATAAACTTATAGGTATGTTGTGAGCAAGGACATTTCTCTACCCAGTGACAATTTTTTTGGTTAGAATGTAAGTGGACAAGTACAGAACAAAACATTCTGAATGTGCAAATTACTTCTTTGTCCATCGCATATTAGTGTAGGTAGTATAACATCCTGATTTATTCATTATCTAAAATTCTTGTAAATACTATTATTGCAGAAGCCAACCAGGCCAAACCATAAACTGCCTCTTAACCCTTAGATTGCCAAAGGGTAAAAGCTTTTTCCTGCCTTCTTTGACTTGTAAAAGTTATGATAACGAACTTTTGCTTGTTTCATGTAGTGTGAATTTTTACTCACATATTTCATTTACATTTATATTAATAGAAATTTTGTCATATAGAGTTTTTCAGAGGGAAAGGTAGATAATGAAATCTTAGTGTAATATGCTTAGGAGAAGGTTCAGGACAGATATATCAACTCTTCATTAGAACTAGAAAAAGTTGTGCTAGCAAGAGGCAGTATAGGATTGCAAAAAGGGCGCTTAACAAGCCCAGAATGCAGAACGTTGATGAAGGACTCCTAGGATATATAGATACATTGTAATACTGAAATTCCCAATAACTGTGAAGTACTAGAGATACTGTGAGCACTACCACTAGATAAAAGGTCTTAGTATTTTATGTATAGATCTCACAGAATTGACAAAAGTTACACCTTTTATGTCTGATGAATTATGGGTGTTAGTAAGGACTATGAGTAAGTTTTGCATGTCTCTAGGAATGGAAATCAGATCCTATAACTGCACGATAACCTTATTAACCAGCAGGCCAGTAAGAAATAGCTCATTTTACCTTTCAGATCAACTCAAGAACTTTTTAATGGGCAGATGCTGCTTGCAGTTTGAAAGATCTACTTATCGCTGATGCATGTGTCATTCTTTAGGATATAAGCATGAAGCAAAATAGAAGGATGGAAGGGCTACAAGGCTGCAGTCTAGAGATCTGAGGCCTTTTGGCTATTCAGCATGTGCTTACACAAGTTATTCATCGGTCATCAATGTTTCATTGGTCTTATATGGCTTTTATGCACAGTGGACTCTGCAGTCTTTTAATCATTATAGAAAAAGGGTCTTTTATTTTTGCTTATTTTGGTCGTTTCAACGTCAATGATCTTTCCGCTGTATTTTTATAGGTGATAGTAATCATGATATATAAAAAAATGGCATGTATTTTTACTTTCTACTTGTACTGATTACATAATATCTTCCTATTGTTAGAGGATTAAGGACAGCAGTTTTTGTCACATGTTGATTAATATGATAGTTTGGTATAAACTGTAATAAATCTAATTCCTGCATGGTTTGTGTTTAGTTCTACTTTAGCAAATGTAATAGGTTGATGTTATATATATTGTAAAACAAGTGATTGATGTGTTCTTAGACATTAAAAAAACTATGAGGTAATTTCTCATCAGTAAAATACAGAGAATAAAATGTATATTCATGACTGTTAATTTAATATACTTGTATGCCTACATGCATTCCTTTAATGAGATTTTTAAAGTCAATCTTCAAGGAAATAGATTTTCTGTTATCAGAATTCCTCAGAATTTTTTGTTCATCCTGTACACTACATTTAACTTTAAGATGTTTTTTTTTCTTTACCAATCTGATCTTTTTGTGTTTTGGGTGAAGATTATAAACTTTTTTAATTTGTTAGATTACATTATGATACATGTATGTCAATTCTACTTGAAAGAAAATATATTTATTTGAATTAAACTTTCCAGGAGCAATTTCCGTCAAGGACTGGTGTCAGGAAACAAACATGTTATCTACCCAATTTTGTACTGGCTTCTTCAGCGAATGGACGAGCTGAAAAAACGAGCTTATCTGGCAAAATATCTGGTTAAGCTAGATATTCCTGCTGAGATTCTTGGTGATGCTGATATTGCTGATATTCATATTAAGGTACTACAGTAGTATCCTAACTTAAAGTTTGCTAATATTTATGTTCAGATTTTTTTCCAGCTTTCCTGCACAAACTGCACATTACATGCATATTTTTGTATAAATGTATTTTAGATTTTTATTAAAAATGTAGAATATCTCAATTACATGTATTATTTTCAGTATGAAGATCTTATTGAGCAATTCAAGACCATCCATCGTGAATATGAAGGTCTCAGAAACAGTGGCTTTTCTACACATGAACTTCGACGAGACATCTCAGCAATGGAAGAGGAAAAAGATCTGGTTATGCGAAGGATTGAGAGAATGAAGCAGAGGGTCAGTTTAAAAACTCTATACTGTATATAGATCTATACATTTTCAGTTTTGTGGTGAAAGTGAGAATTTTTTTATAATTGTTAAAGAACACATTTTGTTTTTCACTTTAAGACCCCTTTTTAGATTGATAACAATAAATGGAAATGTTAGATATTGTGATGGAAATGACTTGCTTTTTGAAGGTTGAAGGAACTCCAAACAGTGAAGAAATGCTCCATTCAGCGAGGGCATTGCGTAAAGAAAGGGAGAAGCAAAAGGAGATGGCTCAGCAAGGCATAGACCTCAAAGATTCTACCCAGCTTTTAGAACAAAGGATCATGCGACTTCAGAATCAGTTGAAGGATATTAGAAAGGCTGGGATGGGGACAACTCCAGAAGGTAATCTGAATATTCACTGATATAGTAGTAGAATTGTAAAAGAGAGTAAGATTTTATTGTCTAATGTTCAGTGTGGTTGATTTAAATTTGACTTCATCCCAGCAATTATCTTCTCGTTACCATTTTTTACTGGATTCATGGAATCACATTGTTAATCTAATCAACTCCTTCCATGTCAATGTCAGAAATGTTGGCATTTTGGCCACGCAGCCAAACACTTTTGCTCCACACCTTACTGCCCTCTTTGTGCCCAACCTGTTTGTGACAATTAAAATTTTTCTGCTCAGTCACACACATGTACCAATTGTGGTGGATCCCGTTATGTATTTCATAGGAGCTGCTCTGCCTATAAGCTTGAAGTAGCAGTTCTCAGATTCAAACTAGGCCTCACGCTACATGAGATCAGACTGGAAGCACTCCTACAAGTTTTTTTTTCCCTCTACCTATCCCAGTGCTGTCCTTTCCCAGTCTAAATCCAGATACTCCAATCTCTACCACTTTCCTGATGCCTACCCTACCTCTTGGTCACTTTACCTGTTGCACTAGGCAATCTAAACATTTCACCCCATCTTCTCTAACACATTTGCTCCTACACCCTTTCATCCTTGATTTCATCTTTCATCAACCCTCCAGTTTCTCTATTCCTAGTCCCTCTAATTCAAAGTGATTGCCAATATCCATGCTCCTCCTCTTCAAGTTCCCCCTACCTTTCTTTCTCCCGCTAATTTCCAACACACCCCAACCTCCCCTTCTCCTTGTTCTTCATTCCCTCTTCTTTCCCCATTATCCTTACTGCTCCCACATTGATGCTCATGTCACTCCCCTATGTCAGAATGGTGCCCTTCTCTGCGTCTTTCCCCTCCTGATATTCTTACTGATAGTTCAATACCTGTCCCTGTTCCTTTATCTCATTCTCCGGATTCTTATCCTCCTACTTTTCCAGCACCTATTTCTACCCCTGTTACCTCATGATTGTTTTATGATGGCTCTTTTACAGTTTTCTTCATACAGTGTTCCTCTTCCTTTATAGATACAAAGATACTCTCCATATGATCTAATTACTCTATGCCCTTAACCCCCCCCTTTTGCTAAATCCTGGTGTACTCCATCTGCTCTTCTCTTTTTACCATTTTCTTTACCGTTATTATCCTATAGCAATCTACAATCTTTCATATCTAACACATCTTATCCTAAACATTAACTTATTTTTACCATTTTGGCAGAATGCTATATGACCCTTGATATCTAGCACATTTATTTATTTTTACCATTTACCATTAACCATGCATACACTTTTGCCATGTAGCAATTTGATTTAATTCAGGAACAAATTTTGTTGTTGGGGAATAATTTTTAGTGGTATTTAGAGTAAAGCTGATATGCTTGGGTATTCTGATTGATCATGAGGTCTGTTTACACATAATTTTATATACATCTGTATTTGTTGTGCATTTTTTTTCAAAACTGTATTGACTTTAATCCTTTCTCTAATATGGATTTTATATAGGTTTGCTGCAGAGGCTAGAAGAAGATGTAAATGTAAATAGCTACATTGTGAATGACAAGCTACCAAAAGAAGTTGCTGCAAAACAGAGAATTGTTTCTACGCTTCAGAGGGTTGCAGCACAGCCAGCAATGGGTCAGCAGGAGCTAGATGCTGTGAATAAGCAGGTAATGACAAAACATGAATATGTTTGTATGCATTTAAACTGTGATCATGTGAAAAAGTTACCTGAAGATTTATTTATGTGTAGATGCTAATTTATTATTTTTTCCTCCCTTATTTATTTTTAGATACGTTCACTAACAACAGAGATCAATAACTTGAATGAAGCTCGCATGAAGGAGGTTGAAGAAGATGATAGTCCTGAGGGCAAGGTAGAATTTTTTTTTTCAAATATGCACTGAAATTGTGCAGTTTTGGGCTTAGCATTTATTTTTATATGGTTTTTGTGTGCTGTACTGTTTAATGTAATTGTAAGTTAGTTAAAAACATTTGTTTTTTCCTATATTTTTCCATACACTTGCAAAATTTTACCCTGTTAAAATCTGTAATTTCAGTTATTATTGCAGTGTCAAGTACTAATCATTACTTCTTGACAGGTTGGAAAATTGTCATTCTTCCGACAAAATGCAGCAATTATTGGACGGAAAAAGGAGCAAACAGCAGAACGAATGAATGAATTGCGAAATGAACTGGGAAATTTGCAGGATGACATGAGGGTTTGTTGATCAGAAATGCATGGAAATATGTACAGCTAATGGATATTAAAAAAATTATTTTGTATATGTCAAATAAACATTCTATGTAAATAAGAAAGATGAACATATGAAAATGAAAGAGCTAATCAGTTGACAGTAGATTTAGGTTATATAATATGATAATCAGATAAATAAAAGATTTATGGAAAGTAGGTGTAATATGCTATTGATGTTCAACACTTGAAATAACAGACTGGTATAGTTTTATGTTTTTATTCCAGCATATAATAGGTTTTCATTAATATTATTGTTTTATTCTATTTTTTGACTAACTATCATATACCTACAGGACAAACAAGAGCAGCTTAAGCAATACTCGGGTGAACAGGTTCTACGAGGTGATGAATTCAAACGATATGTAAATAAATTACGTGGGAAAAGCTCAGTTTATAAGATGAAAAGAGCAGAACTAAGTGAACTGAGAGCTGAATTTGGTGTCCTGAGTAGGACAGAGGAAATATTGAAAGCCAAGGATGCACAAATAATGGAGCAACTTGTAAGTTCAAGAATAAGCATATGAAATGTATATTAAAAAAGCAGTAGATATAGCTTCTCATTATATGAACAGTGACTAGTTGTATTCATCATGAATAGCATATCATAATTAGAGCTTCTTTATGTTTAATGTAGAGTGCTATGGAGGCACGCATGGGTGTAACAGGCTTCCATGAGACCCAAGAGAACTTGGAGAAGGTGTCTTCTGTTAAAGCAGAAGTTGATAGCCGTAAAGGGAAGACTCTTGAGGAAATGTCTGCAATGGTGATGGAACTGAACCATAAAATTGCAGAAAGAAAGGGCCGCTTAGCTCCAATTATCAAAGGTAGAGACTGCCAAAGAATATAGCTTTTGTTACTGACATAGTTGTGTAAGTGTGAAGGATTATTGATTCAGTGTTTGGCATACATTAGAATAATTATTATGGTGATTTTACATTATCTTCTCCAGAACTGAGACCACTGAGGCAAAAAGCACAAGACCTTACTGTTCGATATAATGAAAAAAAACACACCTTCGACTCGGTGGCTGCTGGTTTGGATAGTAATATAGGAAAATTGGAACAGGAAGTCAAGGTATTTTTTTTTCTTTTTGTGGTTTTATGTTTCTATAGTATTCACATGTGATAATATAGATTATTTCTATATCATTATAACTCATAATTTTGTTTCAGACCCTAAAAGATGAAATCATAACATCCCAGACTAAATATCATGTGTTATTGGCTGAACGGGATGTCCTAGCATATAAACAGCAACAGGCTAGTGATGAAATAAAATTATACCTGTCGAATGATCCTCAGGACAAGAAAAAATCACTCAGGTGTGTATTTCTTATTAGGAAAGAAAAATTATTTCAGGTATGCATGTGCAAAGTTTGACTGGTTTCCTAAATGGTTGTATGATTTGGGTCCATAGAGGGTCATATTTTTCCTAAAGCTTTCAGAGAACTAATTTAATGTAAGTGTAACTCATTTCTTATTAGGAAAGAAAAATTATTTCAGGTATGCATGTGCAAAGTTTGACTGGTTTCCTAAATGGTTGTATGATTTGGGTCCATAGAGGGTCATATTTTGCCAGAGAAGGATTTTCTGATTGGATGTCATTATTGTATGTGCCTTGTAATTTGCATAGGAGATATTTTCCTTTGTATTCAGTATTGCTGGTTAAGAATGCCAGAAGAGAAGTAAAAGGAGAAAAGGTTTTAAAACTGGGGCCAAAGTAAGGGAACTTGAAAATAAGTGTGAGTGTTAATGGTTAAGTGTTATTCATTTTCTTTGTCATTTGTGTAAGCATTATTTTTTCTTTTTCTCTGTGTTATTTTGCCAGTATCCATATTACTTATGTTCGTGGGATTCCATTAGAGGTGTATAGAGAATCAAAAGCTTGGTGACAAAGGATTCACTGATTTCTGTTATAAATACTAAGAAACTGACAGGTCTGAACAGTGTGTCATTTTTATTCTCACAGTGCAGGATAAATACTGGAAATTAGTTACTGTAAGAATGTATGAAAGCAAGCTATAATGAAGTTAAACTGCAATAAATGCTGAGAAATACCTTTTATTAAAGACAATCCAAGGCAATTGTAATGAATTACATTGCTAATAGATGTACTAAAAAATAATATTGCTGTCTACAGAATTTTTTTGTTTTTGTTTACAGAGAACAGTTGATGGGGCATATTAACGAACAAGAGAAGCTTGGTCGTACACTGAGGGAAGAGCAGAAAGCAGTAAAAGATTTAGTTCAGAATTCTGCAAAGCAGCTTGCAATGTGGCAGGATGTTATACAGTAAGTGTACAGTAAATATACAAACACACATACAACACATACACACACAAACACATACACACACACACACACACACACACACACACACACACACACACACACACACACACACACACACACACACACACACACACACACACACACACACACACACACACACACACACACACACACACACACACACACACACAACACAATATATACACTTACACAGTGATAGACAGAGCCAGAGACAGTGACAGTGACAGTGACAGTGACAGTGAGACAGAGACTGAGAGTGACTGAGAGACAGAGAGTGAGTGAGAGCCAGAGCCGGAGAGCCGGAGAGCTGGAGAGCCAGAGAGTGACCGAGAGTGACAGTGACTGAGAGACAGAGAGTGAGTGAGAGCCGGAGAGCCGGAGAGCCGGAGAGACTGAGACAGAGAGAGAGAGAGAGAGAGCCAGAGAGAGAGAGACTGAGAGACTGAGAGAGACAGAGAGAGAGACGTGAGACTGGAGAGAGACAGTGACTGAGAGTGACTGAGAGTGACAGAGACAGAGAGTGAGTGAGAGACAGATGTGAATTATTGTCAGCCACCTGACATTGAGTGTACATGTATACATGGAACACTCCCTGTGTTTTGTTTTATTAATTTTGTTTACACATAGATAATTCCTAAGGAGCTGATTATTAGGTCTACCTGATTTCATCTGTTTATTCCCTTGTTGGAATTTTAGGGAAATGTAGTTTTATTTATTTTTGCTTTTATTACTGTAAAGATTATAAATACAATAATGATAATGATAATGATAATGATAATTATAATAAAAATATATTAATGATAGTAATAATTGTAACAGAAAGGGAAATAACATTGCCTGAAATTTTAAGGAATGGAGTAAATGGTCAAGGTCTGGTAAATAGCTTGGTAGCACATGTGGACCCATCTTTGTGCAAGTAATATGAATAAAAAAACAAAACACCTGAGGCCACCACATGTATCTAGCATTAATCGGTAAAGATATTTGAGAAGATAGTATAATGTGCTTTTCATTTGAAAGATAATTTTTTTTTTCCTTTTATGGGCATTTTTTATTTACCTGTAGCACAAGACACCAAAGAATTAAGATCATGTTTGAATGCAAGATTGAAAATTACCTTTTTTTTTCAGGCTAATGGAGGTGAAGAAGACCTGTTTGGATGCTGCAAGAAACAGTGGAAACCTTACTAGAAATAGTGGTGGTGAAGCTTTGGTGCTGTAAACTTGCCTGTTTAGATTATTTATTGTTGGTTTATTTTAGGCTGAGATTTACCCCTTATGTTTAGAGGCAGAGTACAGCCAGAAACAGGAGTTCAGCTTCACTTAACTTCACCATATAGTACTGTTTGCACAAAAAAACAACAAAATATTCTTAATTGAGTATTATTAATGCACCAATTTTACATATTGATAGGTTTTGAATGTCAAAGGAATAGTTGATTCAAAACACCATATAGATAGAAGCTACTAAAACCTATGTACACAATTTGTTAGTAAATGTACAAAGACAAATTAAATACAAAGTCAAATGAAATTGATATATATTGTGATTTCCAGTCCAAATTTGCTAAACTACCAAGCTGTAAAGTGATGTCAGAACTTAATATATAGCAAGCAAGCTTGTATGGTCTTCTACATTTTAGAAGCAGAAAAAACAGAGACAGAGTAGAACAGTTTCATGTGAAATAAGGACATACCAGTCTTTGTATGAAGTTGAACGCATGACTGCCATATGTGGTACATTTTTGTGATAAATGTTATTTCAAACATTTGAGGAATGTTGGAGGCAAATCTTAACCATACACATCTGTTAAAACTTCTTTAGCTTCTCTTCGTAGAGTTGGCACACTTGCATTATAGTTATGAAGAGGGATTTCAAATCTTTAAATAAATGTATATTCTTTTAGATAGGATAAGACCAGAAGTTTTGTAGTATATCTAAATATAAATTTCTAGTGTGGCCTTCATTAGGGGAGAATATTTATTCCTCTTACATTCACTTACTTTCTACTACAGATTGCATTAATGTAAGTTTTAAATGGAAGTTATGATTTTTTTCCTTTGATTTATATTTAGTTACCCTTCATAATGTCATATGAATTTTACCTACTAGTGGGTATGACCTAAGAAATGTTGTTTTTTATTTTTGTTATATATATATATCTTTTAACAAAATAGTGGGTATGACCTAAGAAATGTTGTTTTTTATTTTTGTTATATAGTATAATGGGTTGATAATTATATGATGCATTTTAAATATATGTAATTGCAAAACATAGGCCATGTATATAACCATTTAGACATGAGCAATATCACTGCTAATTTAAAAGTAACCTGCACTTATAAATTCTTATACCAAAAGGTACTGATTACTTTGTCTCTTGGAAATCTTTGGTGCCTATAGTGATACTTGTCAAATTAGTAAGACAGAAAGATAGGAAATTATATAGCTTGTGATATATTCTAAGTGGTACTTGAGGCTTCTGCATTAATTTTTCAACCAGAACCACAATAGGTAGTGATAATTTGCCATTTTCATAGTTGCTACAATACTTTTTGGTATCTGAATTAAAAAATGTCTCGGCAGTTATAAAACCAAAGTACCGGTAGTACTTCTCAGCTTTGCAAATGAATAATTGAATATCTGATATTGCAGTGTGTGTTAAAGAATGTTTCTAAGCAATGTTGAGTTGCATGCCCAAAGAAATTATATACTCATGTTCAATTAGAGGTCTCTGGTTGTTTGTTTTTTGACTGATATTTTTCCATGTATATGATAGTAATATTAAAAACACCACTAATATAATTATTTGGTACAAATATATAATCATAATAAAAGTGTGTCCCATACACTTATAAGAAGTTTGATAGACCTCAAGGTGTACATACTTATTAGTAATTTTACTTATTACAACAATAATTGTGTATAATCCATATTATAAGAAGTTTGATAGACCTCAAGGTGTACATACTTATTAGTAATTTACAATATGATTGTGACAATAATGGTATATTTTCAGTCTTATGCTAGGAGTTAAAATATGTTGCGAACAAATTTGAAAGTTGTAAGAGCAGCATAAATATGAAATCTTAGGATTTTAATGTCTGTTTTATTTAAAGAAAAATCAAAATATCTTTCAAAATCAAAGCATCTTTATTTAAAGGAAAATCAAAATACCAGTAAGTCATCATTCTTTACAAGCATTATAATGATCTTTAGCATGGTGGCATATGACCTGTTTGTTTGTCAAGGCCACAGATACGGATGAGGGTACTAATGTCAATGTCCTGAGAGAGTCCGTCCTTCACAACCCAGATTTTATTTAGAATTTCAGTAGCTTGTGCCTCATCGTCAACCCATATGCTCACATCATTACCCATAACAATATGACTGTGATCAGGAAGTGGCAACAGCATGGCACCATGAACGTCAAATGCAGGATTGTCCTGGTTGAAGAAAGTTAGTATGAGTTTGAAAGCCAATATATTTGAAATAAGCATAGTTAAAAATATTACAACTATTAAATCAAATATCTACCTTATTCTTTTTCAATTAAAATAATTATAAAATAATCTGCAAATGATACTGTTGTATACTTGTAACTTGTTACTTACAACAAAGTGATATGTTAGAGGCTTGGTGAGGTTACCAAACATGTCCTTTGGGAAGTCTAGGACGGCATTACCGTTTACAAGGACCTCTTCTAACTCAAGGTTTTCATGTACTATGGGGAGGACCACAAACTGATTCCAGTGTAAGTGGAGCTTTTGTAACTTGGACAAAGGCTCAAGGCTGTGGTAGGGGATTTGTCGCAAACGGTTTAAGTGTAGGTCAAGGACTTCAAGATTAACCTGAAATGAAATTCAGTCATATTAATTGGTTGTAAGAAATAAGAACATATTGAGAAAATGGCACATATAATATTATGGAGCTTGACGTTTGTGACTACTACTATGAATACTGATTAACCTATGGATCCTTCTAATGAGCAAATATAATGATACAACTTGTTAGATCAGAAAAATATATTAGATGAATATATAATCAAAATATAGTGTACTATAAAGTCTGCTCATATGTTAGTTTAAATCTGATATTTCAGATTTAAACTAATTGTGTGAATAAATTTCATCTCTGGTACATATCTACTACTTGTGAATATTTTGTCACATATCATCTTTTAAGATTAATATTCATCATTGGTATGTTAGATTTATTTACAAAACTAATCTACAGTAAAACTGGCAAGCAATCCTATGGTAGACATTTTTGCTGATTTTAATAACTGCTTTTATTTCAGGGAATTTTATGGGACATATTTTCAGTCAATCAAGATCCCATATCCATTGAAGCTGTAGCTACCATTTTTTTTGTAAATGATGATATACTCAGCCTTCAGGTATGAGTCTCCTAACTTTAGATGATTAGATGAAAATGTTTAATCTAACTTACTAGCTTTGAAATATTATAGTGCTGAACTTCTGTCAGATGGTTATCCGAAAGGTCAAGAAAAGTCAGTTTTGCCAAGTTCCACATGTCAACAGGAGGATCTAAGATCTTGTTACTGGACATATCCAAGAACTTTAAGGAAGTGAGATCTGTGGGAAGAAAATGTTAAGAAGGTAGATTCTAAAGAAGGTACTTTTGAAAGGTAGATACTAGGTTTGGCTTATTTTTACTAGTATTTGCACATTTTATATCCATGCCCAGCACTGGGTTTTACCCCTTTTATTTAACAAATCGCTTCATAATCTTATACTGACTAAAAAAAGAGATTATAGAAAAAAATATGTCAAATGATTCTAAATAAATACACATAATTACTAGTAAACATACCACCAAGTGCTCCCTCTTCAATTCCAGCAATGTTGTTGTGAGCTAGTGAAAGCACTTGCAGCTGTGTGAGCCCCTTGAAACTGTTCACATCTACGTGTGCAATATTGTTGTAATCCAAAAAAATCTGTAAGATATAAAGCAGAGCCTCAAACTCCGGAGTGCAAGATATTTCAGGTGTGGAGCATATGGTATGACAGCCAGATATTATACAATTATATTATTGGGGCAGGATGATGAGTGTAAAAGATACAAGGGCCCATCTGTAAATGTGTTTAAAATAGAAAAAAAAATTATACGTAAAACAGAGAGAGAGAGAGAGAGAGAGAGAGAGAGAGAGAGAGTAGAAGGAGAGAGAGAGAGAGAGAGAGAGAGAGAGAGAGAGAGAGAGGAGAAGAGAGAGAGAGAGAGAGAGAGAGAGAGAGAGAGAGAGAGAGAGAGAGAGAGAGAGAGAGAGAGAGAGAGAGAGAGAGAGAGAGAGAGAGAGAGAGAGAGAGAGAGAGAGAGAGAGAGAGAGAGAGAGAGAGAGAGAGAGAGAGAGGAGAGAGAGAGAGAGAGAGAGAGGAAGAGAGAGAGAGAGAGAGAGAGAGAGAGAGAACGCCGCACCTGCGTAACGTCGGGGTGAAGGTCCCAGCAGGAGGCGGGCACCTCGAGCAGGCCGCCATTCAAGTACTCACAGTCCCAGCGCGTCCCGTCGGCTCCGGGAAAGAGCGGGTCGGCTTCGCGGTGCACGCACGGGCACTCCTCGCTCGCTGAGACACTCTGGCTTGTCATGTAGTCAGGCACGGGGAGAGAAAAATGTAACCCATATAGCAATACGAGTTAGGAGACACAGTAGCAAAGACAGAGGATAGGGGGAAAAAATCGAATAATCATAACCATGAACTTAAGGCCAAATGATCATATAAATCATAAGATCCAGAAAATGCTAAGACTGGTTGCCAACATGAAGAGGGCATTCACGTAAGTGGACAAAGATATGGTAAACATCACGTCCTAGTCAACTGTACGGTGCAATGGTATGGAGTACACACTTGAAAAAGAATATAAAACTGGGAAGAATTCAAAGCTACTAGAGATATGAGCTACGAAGATATACTATAAAAATAGTACTATTTTGGATGAATGGGCTAAAAGGAGCGACGTGGTTTTGCTGTACTATATTGCAGGAAAAGTGTAACAAAAGACTTTATATTCTATAAAGGAAAACGAATAATTGAAAGTAAAAAGAGGTGTCAAAATGTTCAGTTTTTCATGTAGAACTATTGAGACATGAACAGTCTCCCAAATATATATGTGCATCAACTGTAATTGAAAATTACCTAATTGAAACAATTAGGTAAGAAAAAAAACAAAAAAACTGACGCACACATACGCACACGTACACGCACACATACCAATACATACATAAAAAGAAATATATACATATATATATATATATATATATATATATATATATATATATATATATATATATATATATATATATACATACACACATATACGTATACATATAAACACACATATACACATGTGTATATACATATATATGTATTAATAAATATACATATGTATATATCACACACACAGACACACACACACACACACACACACACACACACACACACACACACACACACACACATATATATATATATATATATATATATATATATATAATATATATATATATATATACATACACACACACACACACACACACACACACACACACACACACACACACACACACACACACACACACACACACACACAACACACACACACACACACACACACACACACACACACATATATATATTATATATATAATATATATATATATATATATATATATATATATATATATATATGTACACACACACACACACACACACACACACACACACACACACACACACACACATATATATATATATATATATATATATATATATATATATATATATATATATATATATATGTGTGTGTGTGTGTGTGTGTGTGTGTGTATGTGTGTGTGTGTGTGTGTGTGTGTAATTTGTGTACAACACGTACACTGAAACGATAATCACAGAAACCTCCTTACACAGTGTATCAGGAAAAGCACGAGAAGCGTAGAAACTCTGGACTCCATGGTGTCCAGTCCTCGAGATCTCTGATTCAGCTGCAGTTTTAATAAACAAATGTGAATCCTCCGACGCGTAATTATATTGTGCGAGTGATGGTTCGTAGATGTGACTGAGGATTTTCTAAACGTAGATAAACTAACATGTGTTATAATTCACACCAACAGCGTGAGAAAAACGATGGCAGCGGACGTGGAGTACAGTGGAATATAAATCTATTTGCATTATCATTTCTTGCTTTTGTTTTTTAATTACGATTGCCGCGTAAGTCAACAAAAAAGAGGTGTTGCCAAAATGTTAATTTTTTTTTCATATAGAACTATTGAGACATGAACAGTCTCCCAAATATATATGTGCATCAACTTAAAAAGTTATATGACATTAACTCGTCTCCCGTAAGTGAAACAATTAGGTAAGAAAAAAACAAAAACAAAAACGCATACGCATACGCATACACGGTCTATATGAAGTCCTTATGTAGGCCTTGCAGTAGGCGACCCGTGTGTGTAGCTGTTTATTCGCGAAGGACAGGCACTCAGGTCGTCCCCGCGTTATCTAAACGTAAAGGCGCGCAGGTATGGTGTAAACGAGCTCTTATCTGTTGTTCTCGTTTTGTGAAACCCGCTGTCTCTGAAATCTAAACAATAATATTATGAAGTTCCACTATGCTTTCTCGTGTCTTTATATTTCCCCATCGTATCTCGAAAGCATGCTCACTTGTTCTGCACAAATTCCCAAAAGATTATATTTTTAGCTTTTCGTTACACTCCAGTAGGGCGGACCTGAAAGTCGCAGAGGTTGTTCCTCTCACTACACTCGTTATTTTTCTTTCCTTTCCCTTAATAGTTATCTCACACTCTGAATCTTGCTCCTTTGCTGGAATACATGTCTGTTTCATTTCTGAGTCTTTGGTGGGAGTTTCTTTTATAGCCTCCTCTCCCTCTTTCTGTCTTTCGGTTTCTCCGCTCGTAACTTGAGCCAGTTTCTTTTCTATAACAAATAAATGTGCTAGACATCAAAGGTCATGCAGCATTATGTTAATGTCGCGAATAGGGTGAAAATTTGTTAAGAACTGAACCAAAATGTCTTAGATGTGAAAATTCGTACTGCACTTTAGGTTAGTATGGTGATGAGAAAGGGTAAAGTGGTGTAGCAAATGGGGTAAGGCGGGGGGGGGGGGGTAGTAGAAGGAGGAAAGTGGGAGGGGCAATCAGGTCAGATGGAGGAATCTATCTGAGGAACGAGAACAACTTATCAAGTCAAAAGTGGGGGATGTCCCACAGGTTGACAGCGGGTCGCGGAAGAGAGGGCGCGTGAGGAAAAGCAGAGGGACGGACTGCAGTAAAGCGGGAATGTAAACAAAATGTGTACGACAGAAAGGGGAACCATTATGAAACGATCCACGGGTAGTAAGGGTAGTGGTGGGTGTCGGAGTAGGAGAGGAAACGTATGGAGACAGAGGATTAGGGGGAGAGGCGAAATATCAGGAATTGGACAGGAATAAGGGGTTAGTCTGGGTAGTGTGCACCAAGGTCTATATAAGTACTTATATAGACCTTGGTGTGCACGATCTTGGGGATGGGGGGGGGGGCGAATAAATGAGAATAGTTTTGATTACGGAAGTTGGATATACTCTAAATATAATTAGGAATGGTTAAGGGTTAATGTTTAAAAGCGAAATAAATGAGCTAGACCTCTAAGGTCATACAGGAAGGTATAGTAAAGGGTGATGGCAGGTGATAGTTGCTATGCGTCAACTATCTAGAATAATGTTGAAAGGTTAAATATGGGTAAGGGAGTTGATGATGAGATGGGTTATGGTAGTTTAGGTAAGGGAATTAGATCAGGTGAAGGATATTTATGCGTGTGAGGAAGGAGAACAGGTTGTCAAGGCAGAAGCTGTGGGATTCTGTAAGGATGTCTGATATTTTGAGCGGTCGGTGAAGGGAGGATAGGTGGAGGAAAGCAGAG